TTTCCCTTTCAACTTTGGATCTCAATCACAATGAATTATCAACGATTCCTGTATCACATTTACAAAAGCTAAAACATCTTTTCCTTCGCTTTAATAAATTAACATTCTTAACAAAATCTGACATTGACAATTTATTAACATTAAATAAGAATTTTACAATACATATCGAAGGAAACCCAATAAATTGTGAATGTACGCACATTTTTTCTCTAAAATGGATGAAAGAAAATAAAATCAGATTTGGAGATCTAAAAAGCACTATGTGCGTCAGCCAATCGGTGTCATTAGCAGAATTTTTTCAGGAAAAGGCATTTATAGAATTTGAAAAGAAATGTCAAGAAAACATGTGGCTGACATGTTCTATTATTATGCTAGTACTTCTACTTACAACAATACTGACAGCAGCATTAGTCAAAAAATATCGTGTTCATGTTGATTACGTCATTCTGCGCCTGCGTAGTCGATGGAAAGGTGTCGTGCATGTTGTATATCCAAAAACATTTCAGTTTGACGCTTTTATGTCATACGCAGAAGAGGACGACCAATTAGCCTGTACAACTCTGTATGGAGAGCTTCTCTCCTTAGGTTTCCTAATTAGTTTTCCGGATAAAGACTTTATACCTGGTATTTCAAAAGCTGAGCAACTTTTGCACTATATTGATGTTAGCCGGAAAGTCATTTTTCTCGTGACGGAAAATTTCCTGGAGAGTGGGTGGGATACGTATGCCATTCAGATGGTGGTCACTCATGCATTTCACAATCACAGAGAAAAATCCATGATAGTGATAATAAAAGACAGTATTCCTGTAGAAAGAATGCCAAAGGACCTAAGATACATATGGTGGTCTATCAAAAGTATCCGATGGCCTGAAAATGGAGAGAACATGATGATATTTTTGCAGGAGTTATCTACTGCTTTGCACTCTAATTAATTATTCTATGTGTACGTATTAAGCTATTGTGTATATATCCAGTTTCCCAATTCACTTCATTTATAAAATGATATAGATCCCCTTGTTGTATAGAAATATGACTTTGGGTGAGGGCAACATTGATTATGTCAGACGCCAATGGGTGAAATAATTGACACAGAGAGGGTGCATTTAACAAAATACAAGACCCGCAAAAAAAAACTGGAGACGTAACATACTCAATACATACTCAATGTAATATATCAATCCACACATTGCATTGTAATTGTAGTGGACGTTAAAGTATCCTTGATAAAAGTGTATAAACTGAGGTTTTGCCTTAATATATGTTATGTTTTTAGAAGACCCCTCACTGCTTTATCATTTTGTCACAATATATAAACAACAAATTTGTAATTAGAAACGTACTTTTGTTCCACATAAAAAAATTATTGGTAAAAAGTTAACAAAATACAAACAAACAAAATTTTTTGGAAAGGTGAATCTAACATACTCTTTTGTCCAATACATTACCCACACATTCGTTGTAGTTGTACTGAATCTTTAAGTTGCCTTGATTATGTTATTTGGGGTATTTTTATAAGTGTGACGTTATGTTTTTAGAAGTCGCAACTGTATCATTGTGTCACAATAAATCAATCAACTTTTTTAGTAATTAGAAACATAGTATTGTTTGAAACTGTTTATCGGTAAATACAGTAGTATAAATTAAATGACTGTCAATATTTTTCTCACACGTGATGTCAAATATTGTCTTTTTACAGAGTGTTTTTATTATTAATATAATATTACTGTATATTCTTTTGAAATACATGGTTATATATTTCTTCAGATATAAAATATGTTTTATTTTTTTTTAAAATTGAAATGACCTTTTTTTAAAATGTGTAAAACCTGAACCCCTGAGCCTTTATTATGATTATTTGTAACAAACTTTTTAAATATTTTTTTTACAAAAGTTTATTACAATTCAATTTTAAGAACAGATGTAAATTAAAAAAAACATAGAGGTATCAATATTCAATTTAAAACTGCTCACAAATTCAAAAGGAAGCAATATGTTTGAGGTACTATTTTTTGCGGTGTCAGGATATTTTTTTTTCTTAAAATACTGCTCAAAAAAATACCTTGGAAATCGTGGCATCTTTGTTATAAGAGATCCTTTTAGTATCCTTAATATGACAACTTTTGTAGAAAATTTCCAACATTGTCTACGTTTTTCAGGCTCATTGTATAAATTGTATACCTTATAAGTGGAAATTAAAAAATGTAGAGGTCTCAAATTCAATTTAAAAACTAAAAAGTTGGTATTTTATTTTTAGCAAGTTGTAATTTTAGCGAAAATTTTAAAACAGCTAACTATAGAAGCTATACAAATAAAGCGCAATTCATTTTTAGCGATATTTTTTTTATAATATGGCAATATTGTACACCATAATGCCAACATTGTCTCGCTAAAAATTCTGCTTAAGAAGAAATTGTAATAAATTCTACAAGTGGTAATCCAACTTAAACTCATATTTACCTTTGGTAAGAAAAATATCTTCAAAATCATACATCAGTTTTGAATTGTTTAATATCTCACAGAATCAAAATGAATTTGAACTGCCATATCTATATTGGATTCCAAACTTCATAAATATCCTTACAAACAAAGATACCTTGCGGTTCCAGTAAATGTTCAACTGAAGGAGAAACTTGGTTTTATAAAAAATCATTCTGATAGTACACAAAAGTACGCTAAAGTTGACATCAAAAAGATGATAGAGTTTCTGTTTGGAAATACAATGTATCAAGGTTTTTGTAGACCAGGTCTTCCAACAATCTACTAGTATTGAAATTCCCATTGGTACCAATTGCGCTCCGATATTAGCAGACCTATATTGTTGTATTAATATGAGGAAGAATTTGTCATAAAATCTTACACGCGAAAAGAATTAAACACTTGCTGTGGCCATCAACTCGACATTTAGATATATCGACGGCGTATTGTCAATTAACAATAGTCACTTCCAGTATTATATTAATATTATCGATATGGTATCTCCCGTTTAGATTTAGAAAAAGGATACCACAGTCCTTTTTCATATTTGGATATTTTACCTAAAAAAGATTTCAGTCGTCATCTAACAACCAAGTACTTTGATAAAAGTGTGAATTCAACTTTTCCATCCTCAACTTCTCTTACTTATGCAGCAATATACCTTCCTTTTCCCGCATTAGTGATTTATATCTATCAGTCTCTAAGTAGGCAAGAACATGCTCTCTCTACAATTTTTTGACAAAGAGTATCAGCAGTCTCGTTTAAAGTCAATTTCGTAAGTTCAATGGTCGATACAATAATCTTGTCAGCAAAGACAATTTATCATTTAGGCAGTTATTTTCGGATTATCACAAGGAGCACACGGTGGATGTGACAGGTCGGCAGGGGATGCACACTCCTTAGTGGCACTTTATCCCACCTCTGATGTTTTGGAGGTCAATGTTTGCTCTGCTCCTATATTGTATTGCTTAAAAACTGTTCGTTATCTCCATATACGTGTACTTCCTTCTAATAATTAGAACAAATATAAGTAATAAAAGCATACCAAAACAAAAAAGGAAAACATGGCATGTATCTGTTAAAATGGATGTTGCCAATGCTGACACTGATTCAAAGATGGGTGGAGTACACCAGAAAACAAAGCTGAATTATCTAAAGGATATTATTTAATAGTTACGCAGCGAATACGAGCATAGACATAAAAAACATGAATGAAATACATCCCTCGTATTGATGCAGGCTGTTTTTGATTTCTTTTCCTATACAAAAATGAAGATGAAAATTATATATATAGGCTCTGAAAATCAAGCATTGACTAAAAACTGCTCACAAAACGTCTCTGAATATTCAAAGTAACATGCTTTTACCCACAATAATTCTCCAAACTTCATATTTCAAGTTAATCATATTGTATAGAGAAAATTCAAATATATTTTCAGGAATTTGAAAACACTTGCTATGCATTTTCTGATTCAAATTTGATCAATTAACACATTTGAAAAATAAATTTCATAGATATCCAGGCTTTTGAAGAAATTCCACAATTTTTATACATATAACATGTATAATGTACTTTAATTTCTTTTATTTACTTCGATCATTTTACATCGCAAAGTGTATAAAGGTTCTCCTATCACTGTAAAGCACCACGGATTACTTCTAATTTAATATCATGTTAATAAACATTGATATATATGGTTTGATTTAAATGAACATCAATTTCTTGAAATATGTAATCTTAAAATGTTTTTACGGTGTAAAAATTTCGACTTTTTATTAAATTTCTGAGACTTCAAAGAACCTTAAAGCACATTTAGAGGTATATAATGAAATTTGTTGCATGAAAAGATTTAATTTTTAAGCTTCATTTTGAGTTTTTTTGAATTACATAATAAATTAGAGTTGTCCTTCCTGGCTGAGGATCGGAGTCCCTTAAACACTGATTGAAAAGCGTCAATTTATCAGACCTTGCCTTTCCTTTGAATCTAAAATCTTAAAACTGAATTGTATATCGGAATGGAAAGGATTGGTAGAATTTGTGAAAGATTTAAACATTTATAATTTTATGACATCTATAAGCAATCACTTTGATATACATATATGTATATACCATATACAGTTTTTCTAATACTTTAGAATATAAAAATAATGCTAATTTCACAAATGTTTTTCATAATCGATCATGATAGTTTAAACCCTCTGGTAAGACAAGGTTTATACTTCATATCATATCATAAAAACAGAAAAAATAAGTTGTCTACCTATCATTCTTCAGTTTGGTCATTGAGATATATTTGGTTTAAGTGTATATACCACATTTTAGTCTGAGGTGCCCTAATTAGCTACCTGAGCCGAAGGCTCAAGTGAGATTTTCTGATCAAAGATTTGTCCGTCGTCTGTCGTTTGTATTAGTTGTCGTCGTCGTTGTAAACTTTTCACATTTTCCTCTTTTTCTCAAGAACCACTGGGCCAATTCAAAGAAATTGGTACAAAGTATCCATGGGTGAAAAAAGTTTGTTCAAATGAAGGGCCATGACCTTTTCCAAGGGGAGATAATTATGAAATAGAGAAAAATTAATGGCATTTTTAAAAAATCTTCTCCTCATTAACGACTGAGCCAGGAAAGATGAAAGTCATGTGGAATCATTTTCAGGTAGGGTAGATTCAAATTTGTTCAAATCATGACCCCTGGGGCTAGGGTGGGGCCAAAATGGCCGATCAAAGTTTTACATAGGAATATATAGGAAACATTTTGAAATCTTCTTCTCAAGAACCACTGGGCCAGGAAAGATGAAAGTCATGTGGAATCATCCTCAGATTGTGTAGATTCAAGTTTATTCAAATCATGTCCCCCGGGGCTAGGGTGGGGCCAAAATGGCCGATCAAAGTTTTACATAGGAATATATTGGAAAATCTTTAAAATCTTCTTCTCAAGAAGCACTTGGCCAGGTAAGATGAAACTCATGTGGAATCATCCCCAGGTAGTGTAGATTCAAATTTGTTCAAATCATGACCCCCGGGGCTAGGCTGGGGCCAAAATGGTCGATCAAAGTTTTACATAGGAATATATAGGAAAAATCTTTTAAAATCTTCTTCTCAAGAACAACTGGGCCAGGAAAGAGGAAAGTCATGTGGAATCATCCTCAGATTGGTGGATTCAAGTTTGTTCAAATCATGACCCCCGGGGCTGGGGTGGGGCCAAAATGGCCGACCCAAATTTTACATTGGAATATATAGAAAAAATCTTTAAAAAACTTCTTCTCAAGAACTACTTGGCCAGGAAAGATGAAACTCATGTGGAATCATCCTCAGGTAGTGTAGATTTAAGTTTGTTCAAATCATGACCCCCGGGGATAAGCTGGGGCCAAAATAGCCGATCAAAGTGTTATAGGAATATATAGGAAAATCTTTTAAAATCTTCTTCTCAAGAACCACTGGGCCAGGAAAGATGAAACTCATGTGGAATCATCCTCAGGTAGTATAGATTCTAGTTTGTTCAAATCATGACTCCAGGACCCAGTTGGGGCCAAAATGGTCGGCCCAAGTTTTACATAGCGATATATAGGGAAACCTTTTAAATTTTTTTTTCAAGTACTTCAAAGCCATGCTTAGTGACATTTATATGGAATCATCCTCAGGTAGTGTAGATTCTAGTTTGTTCAAATGATGCACACCTGGGGGTTTAAATTCAAGACCCCCCCCCCCACCTCAGGAAACTTGCACGTCTGATCTGATATGTGCATAAAAAAAGAGAAAAGAAAATTACTGCAGAATTTTTATTAATTAATAAAAATTTATATATACAGTCAAACATTTTCATTTTGAATATAAACAATGACTTCACTCATGCTTTTTTTGATCAAATATACATATATGTATGTATATTTTCTCCGTGCTACCTAGAAATAGCTTATTTTGTATCCTGAAAAATAGGTGTACTTGTCAGGGTACATGTATCCAGCCGTTATATAAAATGTTCTGATCCAAACTTTGTTTCCTTTCTTCAGCTCATAAAGCAAATGCCCTGAGGTACTGACGTGGTTGCTTTGCTGGTGATAGACACAAGTCGAGGCTTTCCGCACACCATCAACCACCGCCTCTATATAAACAGACGATTTCTTGGTAGTAATAAATGTCCACTCAAAGAAGTAGACTCCGTCTTCTGGTGCTGTAAAAACTCCTGTTTTAGGATCATATCCGTTTCCTTTATTCAGCAAAACATCCTCAAATTTTATTATTGTGTTGACAGGAACATTGCTGAGAGCAGATTTAATGGCCGCGTGGAAGGCAATTACATGACCAACTGAAGAACATCCTACAAAATCAAACATATCCGATATATCATTATTAAATAAAAGTGTCAAAATGTGACCAATTTACAATATATCAAATTGAAATAGCTTTATTTCAAAAATTCTGCTTTCAAGCTCTTTCATGATTTGGAAAACTGAAAATTCGTAGAGAAATCGGTGTGTTAATAAGGTCCTGGCATTTTTTTTTATGAAAAACAACACTCAGCATTTGATTTAATGATATATTGTAATTGCTGACAAGGTTGTTGTATCTAATGTAAATCTTTATAATATATTGACTTTAAAGGAAGCTGTTGATGTTCTTGTTTCATCAATTTGCTTGTCAGGAGCTTGCCTCGTCTTAGAAATTGCTCGCAAAAAAAACATTCTTGCGTTTTGAATCAACTTGGAGACATAGATTATTCTAGGAAAAAAATTAATAAAAACAACACATTTGCTTCTATCATGGACATATTCAAAAATAATGTCGCTCCCGTATTTTATTAATACAAGAGTAATGGTTATATATACGACGAATAGTTCTTCCAAATTAGAATACAAAATAATTAGTCAGTGTTCAGCGTTCCAACAACAAATGATTACCTTTTTTCGGTCCCCATCCGACCCGTTGACAAACACTCAAATAACCATCGAAATCTTTGATAAACTTTGTCTGTGCTGATGTCTCCGAGACAATAGAGGTCGTATGAAGCACCAAAAGGACAACCGTAAAAGCTGTTGTCCGCAGTATGCCTGTATACCTGTGAGATTATAAATAGTTTTTAAATATTTTTTTATAATTATCAAAACTAAATATTTTTCCCGCAAGATTGAAAATTGTTCTCTTATATGAACATAAATAATTTTGATGTAATGACTACAAAAATGAAATATCGGAGGAGTGTTACAAAACTGGCTAAAAATAAAACAAAATTTTAAAACATATGTTGAGTAAAAAGTAAATTTAAAGATTAAAGAAAACTTACATATGCATTGTTAAAAGAATTCTTCTCTTCAAAAAATATACTGCACAAAGTATGATATCACTTAATGTGAAAAATCGAAAAAGTAAACAGTGTTCAGTTTACGAACAGTCTACATGTATATAATATAGATATTATATTAGTTATTGCTGTAAATATACCATGTATACAGACAAATAATGTTTCGTATGTTCATAATTATGTTAACATGTAGAAACACGCACAATTCTCGTTAAAAGCAACAGATTTTACATGCGATGTGGTTACAGACTACTAATTTTACCCCTATTTCATTGACCACGCAAAGAGTTCCAGTTTAAAAATAGAGGTTTTTTCTTAAAAATTCTTTGGGGTGCTTATGGGGTGGAATGATGTTATTTTTGGGCATAGATGGAAAGAAGAGGTTTTGAAAAAAAAATATAAAATTGATAATTTGTAAAATTTTGCATTTAAGCGCGTAGTATGAAGTGTGTAAAGAGGCCCATATTTAGCCTTTCCCCGAAGAGAAAGTGAAAAAAGCAGGGTAGGGGTTAATTGCGATGCCATAAAAGGACTTGCAGACTATGAATGTTGCTGAGAGCTTGATAAATTTTTGGAGTTGAATTAGTCTTACTCTGTGCCAAGTTTCAGGTAAGTTGAGCCGGTGTAATTTTTTAAATTATTTTTTATATTATAAAGGAATGTATAGCAAAGTAATTGGTAGTCTGTGTCCTATGAGGTCAAAGGTCAAAACTCACGTTAATCAATTTATTTGCACTTTTTGGATAATTTGGAACTAATTATGCAAATTGTTGACAAATTTAATGGAAAAAATTGTATTTTGGAGAAGTAAAATGGATTTGAATTATTGAAAAGGGGAAGGGGGCACCTGCTTAGGTTGTCAAAGGGTATGACGTAATGTGTGCAATTGATGTGTGTCAAAAATTTATGCAATATGAATTTTGATTCTATATATAATTTGTAGGTGACATAGAACCCATTCCTCACTTATCCTGTTATTTTGAATGTCAAATGGAGTTCAAAATCAAAGGTATGTTTTTAACGATTGATTATTCAGATTACACTGCTCAGTTAGTAGGATAGAAATGCCTATTTTCTCAAAACTTTGGCTTCTTGGTGTCTGTAATTATAGTTGACACAGTTACTTATTAATTTGACACAATTACTTATTAATTATGAATGTGAACTAAAGTTTAAATGCTTTAAAATTTAATTTTTTCAGTGGGTCATGTCTAGCTTACTGATGTGGGATTGCAAGCAGTTATAATGAAAAATCAGGCCAGTTGCCAGTCAGAAGTGAACAATTTTGTACCAGTTGCAGAGAATGATCATTCAGAATACAAGATACAGCTGTCAACAATATTACAGTCCACAACAGCCAAATTAAAGGTATATATGATTAACTGACTCTTAAGTTTGTCTTATTTTTGTGCTTGATTTCTTTTTTTTTTTTTACACTTTTTTCATCTGCCATCATCATCTGTTGCCAATTAATTGTATACTCTCTAAAACTTTCTTTTTCCTTCAGCTTTTGGAATCGAACATCTGCTGTCTGATTGCTGGCACTGAACTTTGATTGTCCAAGACAGGGGAGGTCAGTACGGTGCTCAACATTTCATATGGGATGTTTGGTCCTACTGACTTCTTCTACTCTTGTACGTGGCATCTTGGACATCATTGTCGGTGGTCGCATATCAGACAAAATCATCATTCTTTGACAAGGACAGGTGTTTTTAAGATTTTGGATAAACACTGTGCAGAAATAGTGCTCCACAGGACAGACAGAATTTATGTACTCCATTTTAAAAGAACCTTCTCTAACCCCCCCCCCCCCCCCCTGTTCTTAAAAGTCAACTTCCAAGCAATTCCAGGAGTGATTATATGTGACACAGGCATGGTATGTATTTTCTATGTTGAACCATTGAAAGTAAATAGAAATACTTTTTAATTATTTTGTATTTTGATACCTTTACAGTGCAGAGTTGCCTCCCCTTTTTCTACAGCAGCCCGAAGAATGCATGTAGGTAAAATGCATATTTAAATTCCTTTTCTTGTAAATTCAGAATTATAAAACCCAAAATTTCATAGAATTTATGGTACGTAATATCTAATCATGCATATTGCTACGAGAAATACCCACCAAAGTAGTCTAAATATGACGAGAGATAATCCAATTAGAGTAGTAAGTACCACTTCCTGACAGAGGCTGAATCGACCAGGTTGGATAATCTGCTTATAACAAAGGTATTAATCTCTTTTCCCTAGTTTTTATACTAATTATTCATAGCCTATATATTGTAGTTTTTTTTATATTTATTTTCAATATTTCTAAGAATTTTATGCATTTTTAAGGTATTCTTTTGAAAAATTTTTTAAAATATTTACTTATGCAATAGGTTAAGTTTTGTTCTTGAAATTTGTGAAGGACATAATTATCTAGAATACAAAAATATAAGATAAGAAAATAACTGTCATGTATGTGAGTTGTGAGCATTTCAAATTTGGGAACTGTGTGCCTAATGCTCATTTTACCCTCTGATTTAAGGTGTTCCAGCACATCAATTAAAGGGCCATAACTCTGCTTAGGAATCATGAATTTCAATGAAACTTCACCGGTCATTTTGTATATACAAAAGACTCCAGCATGTCAAATTTCAGCAAAATCAGACAAGGTTTGTGTCCTTATTAGGTTACAGACTACTAATTTTACCCCTATTTCATTGACCATGCAAAGAGTTCCAGTTTAAAAACAGATAAAAATTCTTTGGGGTGCTTATGGGGTGGAATGATGTTATTTTTGGGCATAGATGGAAAGAAGAGGGTTTGAAAAAAAATATAAAATTGATAATTTGTAAAATTTTGCATTTAAGCGCGTAGTATGAAGTGTGTAAAGAGGCCCATATTTAGCCTTTCCCCGAAGAGAAAGTGAAAAAAGCAGGGTAGGGGTTAATTGCGATGCCATAAAAGGACTTGCAGACTATGAATGTTGCTGAGAGCTTGAAAAATTTTTGGAGTTGAATTAGTCTTACTCTGTGCCAAGTTTCAGGTAAGCTGAGCCGGTGTAATTTTTTAAATTATTTTTTATCTTATAAAGAAATGTATAGCAAAATAATTGGTAGTGTGTGTCCATGTCTCAATTTTCATTTTATTCCTTTATTCCTATACAATAATTATTTTAAAAAAAACGAACAATGTGAATTGATATATATGCATCTAACTGTTGAAACGTCGTTTAAATATTTTTTATAAGTTTTTCCTTGTTTCTTCGAAAAAAAAAAGTTAAGAAACCGTAATACAGGTCTAAAGACCATAAAATGTCAAAAGACTAAGTCAAAATTTCAACAACAAAAAATAATAATATAACTAACCCTAACCCTAACCCTAACCCTAACCCTAACCCTATAAATATTTCTGAAAATATAACAGACCTTTCATATGTTTGCATTAGAATACTAGTATTTAAAAATTTGCTACTTTTACAGGCATATTTGAGTTGAATTAAGTCTGTTTTAGGTTTACGGTCTAAGGCCCTGATGGCAAAAGAAAGTTGTTATAGGTTGAAGGGATACATGAAGTACCTTTGGCACTGCTGTTCGTTTCAATGGAAACATTTTAAAAAGACGCAATAGGCAAATTAATTTAGCTGGATTCATAGAGAGATGTTTACTCTAATAAAGTAATGATCGAAACTTTTACTAAAATTTTTTTTAAATCAACTTTAGTTAATAAACCTGAAAAATTCTGTAGGACTACTATAGAAAAAGGGCAAAAATTAGTAAAAAAAAAATTGTATTTTATGTTGTAACTTTATAACTTTTTGTTTCTCACATTTATGTAAATACATATGCTACATGTATTTACATGTAGGTACATGGAGTGTATCTTGAATGATTAAATAGCATTGCTATATTTATTTACTATACATTTACATGATAATTATTTCGTTGATACTCGTTGCTATACTGGCGTCTGAACTTGATTTCTTTCTACGTTGTAGAATATACCAGTAAGTCTATATAGTTTTACGTGGGTGATCAAGTTTATCAAAAAGTTAAACTGATAAAAGTCTGGGACACAGATTAATTATATGCTTAAAAGTAACAGGTATAAAAACAACACATTAAACAAATACTTAGTAAAAGTAAATCCTCAAGAGAAATTTAGCACCTTATGTATTGTTCTGTTGCATGCATAGTAGTAATGGGAATTTTTATACTTTACTTTTTCGACTTCTCGCACGAATAAAGGTGATTACACTCACTGTGGTAAGTAACTTTTGTTCAGAGTAGTTGCATAAATTGTGTTGGTTTTTTTCTTTTCCTTATCATTTCTATCAGAAAAGTTGAATTTTATGCTTCACAAGTTCATGCAAAATTATTTTATCATATCGGCATGGTTTTCTTAACAAAATTAATGTAAATTTACAATAATATGATTTTTTTTCCCATTACTATTAACATGATTAATATCCATTTACTACCCGGCTTATCAGTTTATGAAATATGCACTAGTAATGCAATCAAATATTATATGCACACTATGTTAAGAATGCGAATTTGAATTTCAAATGGAAAATAATCAAATTAATAAAACAAGTAAGGTTAAGCAAAGTCAAATGTGTACATGTATATATTCTAAATAATGTTGGATTTACTTTTTTAGATTAGAGAATGAAGCCGCCATGTCGTTCCCTAGTTTACTGGTTCTTGTGATAGTGGTAGCAGCCGTGTTCATTATTTTCGCTTTCTGTGTCGTGTCCCTGTGCTGTATTTCTATTTGTTGTCCAGCAGCACCAATTCGACCAATCAACCAATCAACGAGCAGCCTTACGTCATCAGTCAGAACATGAATTATATCTAGATGAACATGTAGATTGTGTGAGCGTTTTATATGTAAAATTGTGTCAAATCATTCGCCCCTGTTATAACTTTATAAAATAAAACCATCCACTAACTTCAGTTCTTACTTTCAATCTAGGGAGGAGCACAAATCAGTAATAATTATTTAGTGTTTGATGATTTCTATTTAAAACTTTGTTAAATGGTGATAGTATAATTTGAAATGTTATACTTCTTGATGAGTGAATTTTTATTCAGTTTAAAAATATGTGATAAAGGCTAAAGCCCACATGTATTGAAAATCAAGCCCCATACCCGGTATTATATACGTGCACATAGTTTATATGGTAATTAAACTAATGATAATATATTTTTTTTACTTTTCTTTCAATATGAGGGGGATTTTTTTTCAGCAAAAAATATTTGCACCTAATACATGTATGTATTCTGAATAAATGTATACACACAAACCAATCTCTAACACAAATTAATATTTGAGCTCTAGGTAACCTGCTTCATATTGGCAAAAAGGGCATCTAGACTGCATTACTATTTACTTCCCTTATCCTTAAATTACCATTCCATAGCTACAGTACTGTATGTCTACAACAGGGAACATGATCACTATTTAATAGTGTATATTTTCTTCCATTTTATGACAAAACAAAGAATGATAGATAAATGCATCTTGAAAATGCCTTCTTCATCTACATTTTTAAAAAGTCCTAAACAAAAGAGTTTAGCATAGATTCATATTATTTTTTGTGTCAATGTATAAACATGACAAACCAAATAAATTAAAACAATTTACGAACATGAAAAATACATATTATATTACCTTAAGGGTACTTACCACAAACAAAAAATGGATGCACGGTTTGATATATATTTTTTGACTGATTTTGATTTGAAATAACATTAATAATAAATCCCTGAAATATAAAGAAATCGTAGGTTTTCCTTGGTGCTTAGATATGAGATTTTGTTTTGCCTTCTATATAATTCTTTACAAATTTTTACACAAATTTTTAGCCTTATGACAAAATCTTGTATAAATCTCCCATTCTACTTGGTAAACATTATTCAGGTTACCAATTTAAATGTAAATCTATCAGAAATAATACTGATTTCTGAAAAAAGTTTGTTTGTGTTATTTATCCTTAATTTTACTTTATTTACCTTATTTACTGTATATACATGTACATGCATTTGCAGATAAAATAGCTGTGTGTACATCCTCCTTTGTTATCATCAATGGCTTCAATGCACATTAAATAATGGCTGGATTAAAGTTAAAATGAAATTACAAACAAAATAAAACTGCAATAATGTGTACAAAATGAACAAATGAAACAAAACATGTACCTTATTTGTGAATAATTATGATAACACATATTAATAATGCATCAAGATGTAATAAAATGAAAATACATGAAAATCAACTAATCTTTAATGAAACATGACAATATACCACCAAGTACAACATGAGTATAACTCGTGTTGTATGAATAATTTACCCATATTTATATTATAATGATTTTGGCATTTTATGCATTATGAATTAAACTATGTACAATGAAAAAATTAAAATCAATAACATTTATTTTCTCTGACCTTTAGGCAATTTTAATCAAAGTTATCCAACTCAAATTCGGAGTTTATGGATTACTTGTCATATACAGACATAAACATTGTCTTTTGTACCTGAAAGTCAGAGCTGGCTTTAGTTTATAATGAAATTTTAATTTACAGATAAAATACATCCATGTATAGTAACCATTTTTATCAACTAAAGTCTTAAAATAATTTCATATACAAAATTGATATATATGCACAATTGCAAACATCGATATGACCAAAAAAAAAACCTGTAACATGAATATAAAGATCCGGTTGTCATGTCAATATTTGAGTTTTTTCTTTAATTTTTTTTTTTAATTTATTTTAGCTATGGCCATTGGCTAAGTTTAAAATCAAGATTTCAAAACACTCTGTTAAAATCTTTAACACTGAATTTCTATTTTAAATTAAGAATGTGTGTAATGTTTCTCATGACAAACTAATGCCTTTGAAAATATAAAATCCAGAGAGCCAATCAGGACGTGATTCTGTGTCACATGACCTCTGGATGTCTACCTTCCTCATCCTCCTCCCATTGGTGGGGGACTGGGGGGCACCTGTCAATCAACAATTTATTTATGATATGTATCAAACATTCCCTCATTACAAAACTGTAGCATTATATCAAAATATTGAGTCTCAGCAGACCTGCCCAGGATATTTTCTATTCAAATTATCTATGCAAAATACTGCTTTTTTTCCTTATTGAAATATTGAAATTACATAATTTTTTTAAAAATATATCTTTTTTATGAAATATCTTAATTGTTTGAAGACTGCATATACATGTATATATCCATGTTTACAAAGCCACTTAATGGAATACACCCTTCGGCCTTCGGCCTCCGGGGTAAATCCCCGTACACCCTTGATTGAACCTGGATAACTAATAATATCCCAATCAGGGTGTATGGAATATAAATGTACACCCTTGATTGAACCTGGATAACTAATAATATCCCAATCACTTAATGGAATATGATGTGAGATTTATCCATTAGAGATAAATTTTGTAGGCAGCTATTAGCAATTAATGTATAGTCCTTTACTCATATAAAAAAATCTGTTAAAATAATTTTTGATTGATAAATTTCTTTTGCTGTTATTGCATATGTTCTTCAAATGTCAATACATGTATTCCCATGTGTTTTTAATTTTTTTATTAACATTTGAATTGAATGTGGTGAGTAAGTAATTTAATCTTACCTCCACCACCTCCTCTAAATCCTCCCATTCTTCTCCTCGGGTGTGGATGGGGTCTGTAATAACAAAGGCAACATTATGTATCAACTTATTTCTGCTAATACATGTATATACCAGACATCTTTCTTGTGTAGCTTATTAACTCATTAACATATTTCTGATAATAAATACGAAATAACACTCTCATATGGTACATCCACCTGTCATTTTAAGAATGATGATCTACAGTCTGTTTTGATTAATTAAGTTATATTTAACATGTTTAATATACTTTCAATATAAATTCAACATAAGTAAAACTTTTTATCTTAATACTTACCTTTGTCCCCCTGATCTGTAGTCTGATGTGTAAGAATTACCATGCTTTGTCATGGATGGCTAAAAGAAGAGCATACATCCACATTAATCTTGAACTACCGGTAGTTGTCATTATTTTAACTAGGATACTGAGGTCTTTTCTTATTTTTACAGAAAACTGATAAAAGATTTTTTTTAAATATACTTACAGATATTAAAGTTCTAAAGCTGAAAAAAGAAAAAAAATTTATTAATTTCTTATTTGCAGTCTTAGGTTATATCCCACATTGTCCAACATTTATTAATAATCAATTCAAACCTTTTTAAAAACTATATTACATATATGAAAAATGCAGTTCATTTAAATATAAATATAATTTAATTAGACACCAATTTGTATCTTGGGCATATGAAAAATATACTTATCAAATTAATTTTGAAAACCAAGTAATATCCCTTTAGTTTCCAAAAATAAGAGGTATGTGTACATGGTGTACTCAATGGAAGTGATTTTGATTACTGTGGAATTATCAGTGGAAAAACCAGTATCATTCTTATATCCACAAATTGACATAATCATGTAATGGGTATCATTAACAGATTTTAAAATGCCTGTTAAATTCTGGTACATGTACAATATACTAATCTATCATATTCCTATCATGATGATTTAATAGAAAATGACAAGTATAGTGTATATGAAGCAAATTACTTACAACAAAACAATAAAATTGATGATTCCCCAAAAAATCTCTGGAATAATTGATAGTCTCCATGGAGACTGGAAGTCAACCATTTGACCTAAAAAAGAAAGTTATTGTGTTAGGAAATTTGTGTAAACTGTTTCATCAACTGAATCACCTCCTATGGGTTTCCAATTTATGTTTTATATACACTGTAATCATGATAATGGATAAAATGATTTTATTTTGTGTGGTACTGGACATGTCATTCAAAGACAACTGTTCAGTGTTGAAAGTGACATCTCGTCAAATGTCAACTGATCAAAACTAAAAAAGTAAAACTTACAAATGCAACTATATAATATAATCATTTATCAGGTATGTTTTAAATCAATTTGATACTTAAATTTCTACTGGGATTTATAGGACTGCTTCTGTGAAACAGCATTAAACTTCCAACTACAATGTATATATAACTTGAAAGGATGATCATGATATTTACACTATCTATCAATGAAATGAAACAATTTCAAACACACAATGATTGTTGCTTTCAATAACTTGAATAAGTGTACCACTAGGACAGTCTGAAGGACATAAGTTAAAGGTATTACTCAATATAAAAAAGAGAGAGAGAATCTAGTCTGGAATGGCTGAAAAAATAAATGACAGGTCAGGAAACTGAAATAACACTTTTGGACATGGGTAGTCTTGTGATGAGTTGTCATAGACACTACCTCATCAAATCTATTGTCGATCATGTTGATCATGTTTATTGTCACAAATAATACATATGAGTGACATATTCTCGAAAGGGATGTTAAACAACATAAAATCAACCAATCTATTTTGCATATTCACAAAATGAAATCCAGAGTGATTTGGTTTAATATATTAAAAAAAACTATTGGGTACTGTGAACAAGCGAATAATTATTATTTTAACTGATAATTAATACATTCAAAGGTGTAAAACTAAATTGATACCTATATGATTATGAGTGAATAAAAGTCTATGTTTTATCGTGCTTGAAAGAGTCGACAATCTTTTACAATGCAACGAATCTGAATCACCGCAACGCGTAGGTTGCAGAAAAACCTTTGACATCAATTTCTTGCATGAAACAACAAGTATCAAAAATAGAAGTTTGATATATATCTAACAAATACCAAAAATCTTGTAATAAAGAATCGGAATATGAAAGCATTTTCATTAAATATCTTTTTCAGTTAACGTTAATTACCCCGCTTAAAAGCAAGAGGAAGAGGTAATAGTGTGATATAAGTTTGATGGTCTCTCTTACGTCTGTCCGTCTGATACGCTTTTCAATATCCACAGTAATTAAAAGTGACAGTATCATTTTTTGATCTGGTAATGCATAACATGGATACTGTCATTCTTTCTAATATTGAAGGGTATATCTCTTATGCACAGATCAAAAAATGAAATTCTTTATTACGTTGTACATGTGATCTCTTGGCTATTTCATTTAATTATTGTGACTTTGTCAATAATCATAAATGGGTATCATCAAAGTGAGCTTGTTGACAGTACCCATAGTTTCTCTTTATCCAGAAATACAAAAAATTATTGAAGCAATTTTTATAACTTTTAATGTGTTGGTATATTTTTTAATTTAGGGTTTTTTATTTACGGGTATAACTGGTAAAATGAACACCTTTGTTAACTTAATTATTAAATACAAGTTTTCTATGACAAAAAACGTAGATTTTGAAATAATGCCTCGTATATTAATGGCAACCCCGAATCCGTCTCTCATTCGCAATTGGTCAAATAACTGTAAATAAAAAGAGCTAAAAACAGATATTAGGTACTTTTATTTAACCTATTAATATGACAGAAAAATAGTGGGACAAAAGCGTTGATTTAACAGAAATATCAAAGTCCAAAAAAATGTAATGATGGCACAAGGAAATGTTGATTTCAATCACGGCAGTAAGTTTCATTTAAACATATTCAGTAGTGGCGCCGATAAAATTCTGTTTTGAAATCAGGAAATTGGCCATAATTTGGCACTTAAAGTGAATGTTTCAAAAGAGGCTTATATGTTAAAGGTACTAGACACAGATTTGAAGTTAATATGTTCTCTATAATATTACGGCTTATATATTTTAATAGCATTTCACAGAAAAATAAATCAAAAATCTTATTTCAGTTAAACAAGATTGCCATTTTTCCTAAGGATTAAGAATAAATTTAAAATCTGTGAAAGTGCAAGGATGTGTCAATCAAACCCGCCAAAAAATTTGAAGTTTTTATAACTTTTAATTTTTTTTTATTTCGGGTATAATTTATTTTTATTATTAAGTCATTATCATCAGTTATGCGTCTCTAAAAATACTTAAAAAGGAGTAAACAGGTAGGTCTAACTGATTAATTAATTGACGATTTCTGTACAATTTATACAAGTTAATTGAGATTTACCTTTATGATCCCAATTGATGATCGACTTAAAAGTGCTCAAAACAGAATAATTATATAGATTCCGGGGAGTGAGCTTAATGGCAATTAGCATTTCTTTTACACATACGATGTTGAAAATCTACACGAGCCGTTTTATAAATTATGTGAAATTTTACGCGTTTAAATTTAACGGATTTATAAAACTCGTAAAAATTAGTAAAAATTAGCAGCACGTAAAAAATACCCGTTATACGTTTTCTACGTCCTGACGAGGCCCGTGTGGCGAAGGGGTTAGAGCGTTTGTCCTAGAGTCGAGAAGTAATTTGTTCCTAACGTCGCGGTTTCGAATCCTACAGTGGGACGTAGAGATTTGTCCATCGGATAAAACCGTTCAAACGGAGGTCCCGTGTCTTAGTAGGTGCTGGCATGAAAAAGGCCCCCACTGCTCAATGGTCGTAGGTACAGAGTATAGAACAAAATTTGCAGCTCTTCACTGGCAAGTGGTGACGTCTTCATATGAAGAAAGAATTCTACAGGGGGACACGAAACAAAATACAAATGAAGAAAAGGTTTTGATGAGGCTAACATACTCAATTTTGCCCGAAAACAACAAGGATTATTGTCTTGTTATATGAAAAACAAAAATAATAAAACAGTAGACAGTTTGATTTCATATATTAGATTGAGCAATTCATTCATGTTCAATACATTACCGACACATTCATTGTAGTTGTAGTGAATCTTCAAGTTGGCATGATTGTGTTACTTGGTGTTTTTATAACTGTGAGGTTATGTTTTAAGGAGAATCGACTGTATCATTATGCTCCAATAGATCAATCGATTATTAAAAACATAATATTATTTGAAACTATATACCTGTCAATAGTAAAAATTAAATTACCTCCATTTTTTTTCAGAGGAGGTGATATCAAATATTACCTGTTTTTCTATATTAAGAACATTTAGACTTTTCTTCACTTAATATAAGAAATACATGTAAATGTTATTAATGTGAGTTGCAGGATACGAAATGGTAAAGAGTCCATGTAATTCGTCAGAGGGACAAAGAAATGGTTCGTCATTGTTTTGAAAGGATTTAAATGTAGATAAATATTTGGGGTGTGTGACAGTCGAACCCTGTGAACCTGTTATTACACTCTTTCTACTCACACTTTTGTAAATATTTACTCTGCACAAAATTTCTCATAGTATTACGCAATAATAATATATTCTTTTGAAATACATGTTTCAACTGATTTAAAATATTTCTTTATTTTTAAATTTCAATGATGTTTTAATTCATTAAATACCTAAAAAGGTGAAAATGGTGGCATCTTTGTCATAAATTATATAAGTATTCTTAAGGCATATCACTCGTCAGCTTTCTAGAAAATTTCAGAATCTTTAACTTCAAACCTATTTATTGCAATTCAGAATACATTCTTCAAATTCATATTTCAGTTTTGAATATTATTAATACAAGTATCCCAAAGCTCTAATATGAACTTGAACTACCATATCTACGGTATATTGGATTCCAAAACTTCACAAAAATCCTTACAAAGATACACAGGAATTCCAGGAATTGTTCAAACAAGCATCTTTCTTTACTTCTCATTAAAATATATAAACAGTAGTGAAGGAGAAACTTCAAGAGTAATCTGCAACAATATGTTCTTGAAGTGGTGTAAATCAGATGCGGATACTTAAAAATTCCAAGGAACTTTTTGACAATATGAAATCAAAAGATTTTGTCAAAATCAACAGCTTAAAAACTTACAACTTTTTAACTTTCTAACAACCTTTCCCAACGATAAATTAAAATCAAGGCTTTTTAATATCATCGACAGCTGCTTTTTCAATAAAAATGGAACTCGTTATTTTACATACCTTGTCATTGGTCATTTGCAAAATTATTTTGTTCAAAATATTTCTGATAGTACAAAAAAGTACGCTAAGTTGACATCAAAAAGATGCTCGAGTTTCTGTTTAGCAATATCTGAGCGGTTTATACAGACCAGGTCATTCAAAAATCTATTAGTATTGGAATTCCCATGAGTACCAATTGCGCCCCTTTAAAACAGACCTTTATCGTTATATTCCTATGAGGCAGAATTTGTCTTAAAATCTTTTAAGTGAAAAGAATAAAACACTCGCTGTGGCATTCAACTCGACATTTAGATATATCGACGACGTCTTGTAAATTAATAATTTTCATTTCCATTCTAATGTCGATACAGTATCTCCTGGTTAGCTTGAGATAAAAAATACCACATATTCTGACACATAGCTTCATATTTGGATATTTTACTTTAAAAAGACGTTAAGGTTAATCAAACCACCATGAACTATGATAAAAGTGATGCGAATTCAACTTTTTCATCGTCAACTTCCCTTACCTATGCAGCATTATACCTTCCTTTGCTCGCATACGTGGTTTATATCTCTTAGTTGATTTGATAGACATGAGCATTTTGTAGGTATCTACCATTTCTAAAAGGAGGTAATTTTTCTTACGAAGAGTATCAACAGTGTTTAAAGTCATCATTTCGTAAGATTTAAAGTCGATAAAATGATCTTGTCGGCAGACAATTTATCATTGAGTCAGATATTTGCAGACCATGACAAAGAGCACACGGTAGATGTGACCGGTCGGCAGTGGATGCTCCTTCCTTATATTGGCTCCTGGTCCAACCTCTGATGTTTTTGAGGTCTCTGTTTGCTCTGTTCCTGCCTTGTTTTACTGACTTTTGAACTTGAAAACTGTTTGTAATCTCTCTATATTTTATTCTAATAATTAGAATGAATATAAGAAATAAAAGCATACACCTTCCAAAAGAAAAAAAAATTATAAATAGTATGTATCTATTAAAAGCGATGTTGACAAAAATGACACTGATTTCAAGGATGGGAGGAGTACGAGGGGCGTTCAATAAATAATAATATTAGGGCTCGAAAAGAAACAAAAAACGCTTTTCTATGATTTAGTCTTGATGATTTTAACTAAAATATTCTGTTTTAATTGAAACACATGTCCGTAACATTTTCATTCAATTTCTAATTGTTTTAAGAACACATTTTTGAGTATGACCCTTCGTATGCTGGAATATGGCAGATTCTATGATTTGCTGTACTTATTTTTTTCTTTCTGATAGATGTTTTTCTAAGTTTGGGAAATGAAACAAATCAAAAGTTGAAAGATCTGGCAAATTTTGTTGGTGTGACAAAACAGTAATTTTCTGTTTATCCCCAAAACTCCTTTACTCTTCATGGCCTGTGGGTTTGGACGCTGTCAAGAAGAAATTAAATGTAGTGAATTCCTCATTCTGTTTCCTTCCTCTCATAAACCTTTCATTTTTTTGCCAAAAAATTGAAATTCCTCCCCGAATATGAATTTGAACAACAAGACAGCTAACATTTAAGAAAATAGCATATAAAACTGTTTTGTGCTCTTGCAGTTCTTTGCTCCTCTTAGGCTTTTGCAGTTTTGTCAAGTGCATCATATTGTAAATTTGTTTTGAGGGTATAAAGCAAAATGGATTAAAGTATCATTATCTGTTTGAAGTTCAGACAAACGTGGATATGTACAATTTTTGATTTTTTTTTAAATAATTTTTTAGATTTTCCTACACGCTGTCGTTTTCACTCTTTTTTCAAAATTTAGGGTTACCTTTTGAGTATTAAACTTTATTACTATCAAATATTCCTTTAAAACATTGTGAACTACCCCCAAAGTGATTTTTATCAATTTTGCTATGTGTCTTAAAGTCAATAAAACATAATCAGTGATAATTTGTTGAAATATTCGCAAATTTACATTGGTTGTTGTAAATCATTGTTACAAGGACGGTACCTATTTTTGATGCCCATTATATAATTTTTGTTGATTGAAATCTACTTGTTCATGTGTCTATAAAACAAACATTGTTTGCTGTAAATTTCACATATTTCAGTTAATATATGTTTGGGATATTAAAAGTTTTACAGCTGCTTTAATGAAGCTTTTAATTTTACTCTTGTTTACTGATTCTTGACCATTTATTTTTAATGCAGTGTCTCGAATAGCCCTTGTTTTCCAGCTTCCCACAATGAAATAATGCGATGAAAAGTGGTCACATAAACTATTATTAATTCATTAAAGATTCAACAATGAGAGAAAGTCAAGCTTAATGCCATATGACTTCTATGTTGTATATCATCGAGTTAATGACATTATTTTTTGAACGTCCCTCGTATAAAGCTGAATAATATAAAGGACATTATTTAATAGTTCTGAAGCAAGTTCAAGCATAGACACAAAAAAACATGAATGAATTTTACAATACTAATATGGATACAGGCTGATTTCATTTCTTTTTCCATAAGAAAATATTTATAAATATGATTAAACACTGATTGAAAAGCGTTAATTTATTAGACCTTGCCTGTGATTTGAATCTAAATTATTTTAAAACTGAATTGTATATCGCTAAGATTGAAAGGTTTGGTAGAAGTTGTGAAAGAATTATACATATATAATTTTATGGCATCTATAATCATGTATTTGTCATATACAGCTGTCCAAATACTTTAGAATAATAAAATAATTCTCATTTCCAAAATGTTTTTTTCATAATCGATCCTGATAGTTTAAACCCTCTTGTAGGACAAGTGTTATACTTGATATCTTGAAACCAGAACAAATCGGTTGTTATGCTTGTTAACTTATCATTCTTCAGTTTGACCGAGAAGAAGTTTCCAAGATATATTTAGTTTCAGTGTATATACCACATTTCAGTGCAAGGTAACCCTAATATTTATTTACTTCTGAAATTCCCAAAAATAAGTAAATTAAGCAAAATATTGTGATTTTCTTAAAAGTCTATAATATATCCATAAAAAAGAGAGAGGGAAATTGCTGCAAAATTTTATTAATTAGCCGTAATTTCTGCAGTCAAACAATTTCATTTTTAATATAAACACTGATTCACTTATGCTCTTTTCGAAGAAATATACATGTACATAAAAGTATGTAAATTTTCTTCCGTGCTATCTAAAAAAAGTTAATTTTGTATCCCGAGAAATAAGTGTACTTGTCAGGGTACATGTATCCAGCCGCCATATTAAATGTTCTGATCCAAACTTTGCTTCCTTTCTTCAGTGCATAAATCAAATGTCCTGAGGTGCTGACATGATAACTTTGTTGATCATTAACACAGGACGATGCTTTCCGTGCACCATCTACCACTGCCTCCAAGTAAACTGAAGATTTCTTTGTTGAAAGAAATGTCCACTGGAAGAAGTAGACGCCGTCCTCTGGAGCTATAAAAATCCCTGTTTTCGGATCATATCCGTTTCCTTTATTCAGTAAAACATCCTCAAATTTTATGATTGTGTTCACGGGAACGTTACTGAGTTCTGATTTAATGGCGGCATGGAAGGCAATCACATGACCAACTGACGAGCACCCTACATTTAAAAACATATCAGATGGCATTATCAAACAAAAGTGTCAAAATATGATCAATAAAAATATATTAAATTAAAAGAACTCGTTTTAATTTTTATTTTAAAGTTCTGCTTTTAAGCTCCTTCATGATCGCAAAAACAGAAAATTCTTAGACAATTCAGCGTGTAAATAAGATCCTGGCAATTATTATGAAAAACGACAATCAGCATTTTATTTAATGATAGATTGTGGTTGCTGACAAGGTCGTTGTATCTACATCAGAATTTTATAAAATATTTACTTTGAACGATTTTGTTGATGTACTTGCTTCAACAACTTGTTTGTCAGTAGCTTGCCTCATTTCAAAAATTGTTCGCAAGTAGAACATTTTTGCGTTTTGAATCACCTTGGAGATTTAAGTTCTTCGAAAAAATACATGTATGAAAACAATACATTTGCTTTATTATTGAAGATATTCAAAAAATGTTTTATTAATACAAGAGTAATGGCTTCGACGAATAGATCTTTAAAATTAGAATACAAAATAATTAGTCAGTGTTCAGCATTGCAGCAACAAATGATTACCTTTCTTCGGTCCCCAACCGACCCGTTGACAAACACTCAAATAACCATCAAAATCTTTGATAAACTTTGTCTGTGCTGATGTCTCCGAGACAATAGAGGTCGTATGAAGCATCAAAAGGACAACCGTTAAAGCTGTTGTCCGCAGTATGCCTGTGTACCTGTTGATTATTAATATTTTTTAATGATTTTTTCAAAGTTATTAAAACCTAATATTTTTTCTGCAAAATTGAAAATTGTTCTATTATTTGAACATACTCTTTTATAATTTTATTGTGTTGATAACAACAAAAAGAAATATTGGAGGAGTGTTACAAAACTGACTGGAAGTAAAACAAAATTCAAAAACAAATGTTGATTAAAAGTAAATTTAAAGAATAAAGAAATACTTCCATATACATTGTTAAATGATTTCTTCTCTTCACAAATATACTGCACAAATTATGATATCACTTAATGTGAATAACCAAAAAAAAGTAAACAGTGTTTGTGAACAATAGGCGTGTGCATATATATAGGTATTACTGTGAACATATACAGATAAATAATCTCATTTTTTAAATATGTTTATAATTATGTATATGAACACGCAAAGTTCTCGTTAAAAGCAACAGATTTTACATGCAGTGTCTTAAATTTCATTTTGTTCCTTATATACAATATCTATTTAATAAAAGATTAGCGAACTATATAAATTGATGTATCAAAGTTTTTAAAAAGAAGTAATTCTAACTGTTGAAAACGTCGTTTAAATGTTTTTAAACACAAACAAGTTGAATTTTTTTTTAGAAACGTTGTGCATACATGTATATGAGTTTGTTTTTAAGTAAGTATTGGAGTTTAATTTGTATCTGAAGGAAAAAGAACACCATGCATTGGAAATTTCATTGGTCGTCTTTCATTCAAAATTTCTTCCTGTTTGATTCTCCTTCCCCTTTCTATTTCATTCCTACAATGACATCAATATTTTAATTTGCATAACATGTTTGTTTGCTTCTGTGGATATTCTATTTTTTTTTAATTGTACAAAGGATTTTGGGTACATGTACATTTTTGGAAATGTTTTCCCTGTTTCTTTGTTTCTGTCAATGAAAACATTTTTAAAAAACAGACGCAGTAGGTAATTTAGTTAGTCTAAATTGATTAATAAACATCCAGAAATGTTAACTCTAATAAAGCAATGGCCGAAACTTTGATTTAAATATTTAAAATATCAACATGATAAACTTTAAAAATTCTGCAGGACTAGTATAGAAAAAGATTGAAAATTAGTAAAAGATATTTTATGTTCACTTGTAACTTTTTGTCTCTCACGTTCATGAAAATACATGTTACATATATTTACATGTACGAATATGGAGAGTATCTTGGATGATTAAATATTGCTCCATTTATTTACTATACAATGCAGATGCATTTACACGATAATTATTTCGTTGATACTCGTTGCTACTGGCGTCTGAACTTCATTTCTTTCCTCTTTATAGAATCTATCAGGAAGTCTTAACGTTGCAAATCAAGTTTATCAACAAGTAAAACTGATAAAAGTCTGGGACACAGATTAATTACAGGCTTGAAAGGAACAGGTGTAAAAACAACACATTAAACAAATATTTAGTAAAAGTAAAAACTCAAGGCAACATAGCACCTTATGTCATTTTCTAGTGCATGCACAGTGGTACCAGGAATTTTTATACCTTACTTTTTTTTACTTCTCGTACGAATAAATGTGATTACAGTAGTAAGTAACTTTTGTTCAGAGTAGTTGCAAAAATTGTTCAGGTATTTTCCTTATTAATTCTACTGTACGGGAAAATTGTGCTTCATAAGTTAATGCAATTTCATTTCATCACATTGACAATGTTAAATGCGATTTTTAAAATTGTTTGGTTTTACAGTACAGGCAACGCGGATCCCGTATTAGACCGCGTCCCCTCCGCGGTGTATTAATCCTTTCCGCGTTACACCGTCGCGGGTTTTGATCGCGGTGCTACCTGAGACCGTGTTTACACCGCGGCGGGGCCAGCTACCGTTATTCTTCAGCTAAGATGTTCTTACCTGTAACGTATTGTCGATTTTTAATCGTGTCGAAATGAGGGGGGGGGGGATTACGAGCACATTGATATCATAGATTTATACCATTACATGGATTCTTTAAAAATTCATTTTTTAAAAGTTTTATCAAATTGTTTAATAAAAAACATCTTTTTTTTGTACCAATAGTCACTCAAAATTAATTAACTCTCAAACACGTCTGTTAACAGTAATACATGTACAGTATAGGATGAAATAAAGTCGAATAATTTATCGAATATATTAACTTAAAGTTTATTTTCAAAATCAATAATGCCACCCCAAATGATCTTCAAATTGCTAAAAAGGTATAATTAAAATTTAAAGAATGCCATGATATCGCTTCTCTTTGTATGCACTGGTGCAACCGGTGTTCACAATTAGCCCGTGCAGTCGCAGTTACATGTAGCTATGTGTTTATTTATCTGCGAGATTATATAAGTCATTTGGTTTCATTTAGAAAACTACCGTTACTTCTGTATACATATCTGTTATAAATAATAGCATGAAAAACGATGATACATGTAGATAGTGATACATAATTACAATTAAATTTTAACAAAACACGCATAAGTGTAGGAATACCGTTGTTCCATTGTTATGAGCTACACTGTAAGACTATGAACTAAATATCGACGATTTTTATTTTTTTTTTTTTTGGGGGGGGGGGGGGTTATTGTTAATAAAATAATCACAGGTCATTTTATTCAGAATATCAATAATATCATAGCTAGTATTTGAATGTATTTGTATTTTCTGCTCTTTTCGAAAATTACTAAAATTATGTCAATGAACATAAACAAATTTCAGATTTTTCCGGTTCAAATAAAACACAAACACAAATATGGGCCCTTAAAATATTTGAACACACAACACAAAAATTAACTTATTTTAATCAGCAAATTGCCAAACTTCAAGTTTTCAGATGTCTGTGTTACCGTTCAGTTTTCCTCAGGTAAGTTTGGTGTGGAGTGGAGCTTACTCGAAGCGGATGAGAAGCCCAGAGGGAACGACGCTGTCTGGTGTACATACTACCTATATACACAGGATGTTACCTGAGTGTATTACCTGTATGCTTTTTCCTACGACATTGTAAAACGAAGCCGTTTTTTTTTTATGTGTAGCTCATAGATTGAAATGCATGAAATAAAGAATTCAATGTTTTTGTTGCAGACAGAATCCTTTTTAAATTTTTTGTTTCAAATAAATATTTTCAATAATTCGACAATTTTAATACACTGTGTTTTTCTTAATCAAATTTTATAACAAAAATACGTTTTTTTAACCACCAAAATCTGTCGTTGTAATCTGGCAACAAAAAGGGAAGTAATTCAAATTACATGTCATGAACATATGCTAAACGAAAGAAGAAAGTGGATCATAAACAAGTCTCTCGATAAATAACAATAAAACTTAGACAAAATCTACAAATGGTCAATAAACTGATTAATCAGCGGTAGTTTTATTCGCTAGACTTAAGAAATTGATATACTGATCAAAAAGGAGGAAAAACGATCATGCAGGTGCCTTAATATTGTGATATTTCCCCCCTCTCTCTCTCTCTCTCTCTCTCTCTCTCTCTCTCTCTCTCTCTCTCTCTCTCTCTCTCTCTCTACTAACTGGTACAGGTATAAACAGACACGAAATAACATAGCAATGGATCATTATTTTATTTAATTAATATTAGATACTTCATTAATTTGTTTTAAAAGTTTTTTTTTTTTTACTTTTATTCTTTTTATATACTCCGTTTAAAAAAAGCAACAATAATTTGACACAAGTTCCAAGGCTAATGTCGCATCTGAAAATGATATCGATGAAATAATAATGAAACAATGAATCAAATGTGTTGTTGAATGGCTAGACAACGATGTGCACATCCAGCGAGCGTTACCTAAGGTATACTCTAAGACAGGTGTGAAACCCCCAGGGCATGTCGTTTCCTGCTCAGGCACTGCTAATCCCTATACACAGGAAATGATCGCGGCTAATACTTAATACACAAAGAAACAGAATTTGTCAAAGAAAACAAAAATATATGAATTTTTGCATTGAATATTTATTGATATAAACTATAATTTCGTCTGTGAAGTTTATCATTACACCTGCACATCCTATCTTATCTATTGAACACGAAAATCGAGAAATATTAAAATTAAAAAGAAAGACATTGTTTTAAAAAGTAATACATGTTAATTATGAAGGTGAAAAACGATATTTATTCTTGATCTCTTGTATAAAGTTCACGTGCTCAAAGTTAACTCTCGCCATCGAATGCTTTTCGGTCATTTGACAATTTGAGAAAAATGCCTGCACATTTATATAAAAGAGGGAAATAAATTAAAGAAAAATTTTCTTAATTTGGGAACAGAACATAAACGATGAGAAATAAAGAAGAAAAGAACTTTTTTCTTGATATCTTGGATAAAGAAAATTTAAGTTCACGTGCCCACTACATGTAACTGCAAATGCTCGTCATCGGATGTTTTCCGGTAATTTGACACTTTAAGAAAAAGCCTGTACATTTTATATATAATAAATCGAAATTAATTAATAAACAATATGAAGATGTACATTTTTTAAAAGATGTACATCTTTTTTTTCAAATGAATGCTGAAAATCGTTTATCGAAACTTAAACAGTCTGAGTTCAACATTTATTACAGTTTGCATATTATATGAAGATTTAAAAAAAAAACTAATTAAAATTTCTAGTATTTAATTTTGTTTCTTAATAGATTCTTAATAACACAAAATAATTTACCACTGCAAAGACGTAACAATTTAATAGAATTTTCTATTCAATTTCAAATATTGATATGTAATTTTAGAACCAAAAATAAACTTATTTTTTCTTAGTTTAAATTCTGCTCATAGCAAAATTAATTAATAAACACACGGTTTTTTGTTTTGATTCTTTGTTTTTTTGATTTTTTTTTTTTTTTTTTTTTTTTTTGTTACAGGGAAAATTCGCAAATCACAATTCGGGGAGATAACTCCCGTTTGTTTACGATACTAATTGTCAGTAATTGATCGATGATTTAACCGCGGCGGGGACAGGTAAGTGGTGAATTTCCCGCGGAGGGAACGCGGTTTA